CAATAGATAAAGTTAAATATATAAAGCCGATCAATTTTTAGTAAAAACTGATAAATTTACATCAAGTTCAAACCCAAAAGGTAGTTATATATCAGCACCCCTTAGTAAACTACTGCTTTTCTATACCAACGTACTTAGGTTGCTACAGGAAAGTTAGAAAAAGTTATTAGGAAGAATCGCGACACGCAAGTTGATGAACTTTCTGGTTGGACGGCATCAGTTTAAAAATCGGAGATCTTAAATAGTGGATTCTTCCAAATAATCAGGATTTAAAATATTTGCGCATTTAGTAGTAATTTTCGGCAGGTATAAAAAGTACAAAATAATGCTGGTGGAGGTTCAGTTATAGCATGCTGATGTAACAGAAACACCTCATTGATTCATTTTAGTCTTACAACACGTAGTGTGTGATCGCACTTATTGTTTAGCACGAGGACAACCACTCCCGTTTTCCGATTTATTTGTTTACTGTTTGATAGCACGAACCGTATTTGGCGAAAGTCTTTGTATATGTTCCAGAAATAGTGAGTAATTTACTGGAAAAGCTTTTGTGAGAGAACATAACGTCATTTGAATTAACAGAGTAGATTCGTTGGAGTAATTGTTTGCAATTGCGATATTCTGATTTTCATGCTTCGAAAGATGAAGCTCACCTCTTAGTTTTTTTATGAATTTACACAAAAACCATATGATTTTTTTAATTGTTTGATATTATCGGTTTCTTGCTGCCAATCGAATGCGGCACGAGAAGTTCTAAAGCTCTCATGTAGCATAACAGTGGTGGTGCTAGACGCATGGTTTGTTCGTACAGTGGTCGGTGAGTTGTCGGTGATTGTATTTGGGCTCCGGCCCTGTGAATTCCATCTATACAGTGTGTGTCACAGAATGATAAATTTGGTGTCATTTGAACGACGACATGTTGTCCTAGCGATTATTGAAAAGCTTGTTTTGATACTAACCCTCAAACATACTTAAAAATAGACAAAAACATAAAAAAATATGGAAGAGAAGTGATTATTTTGTGCATTTTCGCGTACCATTCAAAAACTTAGTCTGTGAAGTTGTACTTTTTTGTGCTAATTCTACAGCTTTTTGTTATCCTAAATATTCTACGTTAAGCAAGAGATGCTATCTAACATGGGTCAAAATAGGTGTAATAAGATGCAAATTGTTTTCAAACTTTTTATACATAAAAATGACAAATCAATGCTTCTTATAGAGAGTTTGGACATGTTTAATGTTACACAAGCTGTTCAAAATGTCTTCCATTATTGGTTATGCACATTGCTGTTCTTAAAACAATATGTCGTGTTGAGCGGCAGACTATATCCGTGTCAGCCCTAATTTCGTTCGGAGCGGTATGGATCCATTTAAAGGGGGATGAGGTAGGACATTGTGGGGGGTGGATTTGTCGATAAAAATAGCTGAAAAACATCCCCTCAAATATCGGTATGTCGTGACCAAACACATTGTATAGCGTAGCAGAATGAACGGTATTTGTGTAGCGGGATCTTGGACACGATCGGTGACAGTTTGGTGACAGCTGTACGACAGGGCTCATACGAGTATGTGGATTTCGACGATATCAGCTTTGCGAGGCCCTTTTCATTTCTCAGTCAAAAAAAAAGTCAATATGAATGAGCACTAATTCATTACAATGCGCATTTTGCTAACAAAATGATGACAAAATTAAACACACACAAATTAAAATAGATGACATTTTTGGCTTTTAGGCCCGTATCGTCAGTAGACCCTACAATTGTAGGGCGCGTTTATGGCCTCCTTGATTGTCATACTCCTTTCTCTCCTTCAAAAATTTCTAAATTACACTTGTCCCGTATCAGCGTCAGCGCTCTCCTATTGTGAAGATGGTTTTCTTTTTAAATTGTAGGAAATTTCAGGCTGATAAAACATGATATAACTCAAAAGCAAGCACAATTTGATGCAAATAGATGTTTGTGACATAACCTCAAAATAGAGCGCTGACACGCAGAAGTAGAAAACTATGACAATCAAGGAGGCCATAAACGCGCCCTAAAATTGTAGGGACGACTGACGATACGGGCCTTAGCCTCGCTTAATTGTTTCAAGATTATTAACACCAGCCGCTAGTTCCACTTTAATTGATAGAGCAAATAGTCTTTCTTGGCTCATCGTGTTTCAAGTCGGGCTTATCCAACTTCAGCTTTGATAAGCTTCCTTTGATAGAAGCTGGACTGATTGGAACGGTAAGCATGCTTTGTTATGTAAGCATTTTTACTTATATAATTGTACTTGGTGACATTGCAAATATTGCACCCAGAAAAAATTATTTCTTCAAGTTAATTTTTTGGCAATGAGGTAGTCTTACATCAAGAATGAAACCATAACATTCTCACGAAATTTTATTGACAAGTAATAAGAAAAAAATAATGTGTTGGGCGACCTCGCAGCTGAATACACTTCTGTATACGTTTAGGCATCGACAAAATGAGATAAATAATCGATGTCTGGTTGTGGCACCTCATTCCAAGCAACTCGAACTTCGTGGATTAGCTGTGGTAGAGTTTGTGGCGGATGGTACAAAGTGGATGCACATGTTTGATGGGATTTAAATCAGATGAACGGGGAAGCCACGGCAGAACATTAACGCCTGCTCCTTGGAGAAAGTCCGTACTATGACGAGCAATATGGAGACGTGCGTTGTCTTGCTGAAAAAGATCGTGTGGACAGCCTCAGTAAAGTGATTTGTAGGACATCATCAACATAACGTGCAGCTGACATATTGCCTTGAACGAAGAGATGAGGTGATCGGCTACCATAGACAATAGCCCTCCAAACCATTACTCCAACAGTCCTGTGTACATGCCTCTCATCAGCAAATCCAATATCACGTCGCTCTCTCCGGCGGCATCTTACCCTTCTACGACCATTGTACCTCTACAGAAATCACGATTCGTCACTGAAGATGACAGTATGTCTCCCAATGTTGCCGTTGTCTGCTAAAGGTCAAACGTTCATGACAGTGATCGGCAGTTAGAGGAAGCACTAACCGTGGACGGTATGAAAAAAGTCCAAAGGCTATCTTGACGCTCTGTGGTACGCCTCAATCGACCAGTTGGTCACCTTTGTCTTTCTCTACCTTCTTCTATCCGCACACCACACACACGCATTACCATCATTGCAGTACAATTAACACAGCGGCCAATTTCGCGATAGGACAAATCAACATCTCGATAGGCAATGATCTAACCCTGTCAAAGTCGCTAACATGGTGATAATTTGGACGTCATCGAACTCGAGGTATTTTGTTATGCTTAACACTAGTAAATGAAAGGGCAATAACTTAAAATAGCTGTACTACTCAGCTCTCAGAAACTGCTTTTTTCAGAATAGAGATAACATTTTAACAAAGTTAAACAACAAAAAAAAAAAGACAAAACGTTGACATTATTGCCACAGGATGCTTTAAATATAGTCATTATGTTGCCAAAAGAAAAACAAGTTGAAAAAATTTTTTCTGGGTGTAACAATTCTAATATCACTGAGTATATTTTCTAAAATGTACTGGATAAGTTGCGTTATTGACAGAGTCTGATGAAGTGAGCTTTAAGAGCTGCAGGTCGTCATATATTTAGTTCGAAATGCTGTATGTCGCTGTTTTCCCTTGTATTGTGCCTAAGTCGTTACAGTTCCTGAAAATGTCCTCCTGCGATATAGATTTCAAGAGCACATATTTTCTTTAAGTTTTGACGTGGATTCGAGATCACAGAAACTTGATATGAGGTAATATCATTGTTTCAAATGGAGCTCTTACAATTGAGGAATTAGTCTCAGTTTAAAAGAATGTTTTAGAGCAGGGTTTCCCAACCTTTTTTTTGTTGAGGCTCGCCGGACTATAAATTATATTTTCATATCTCCTTTACTTTTTCAATAAATACAAAACACGCATATTATATAGGTACAAAGACTTTTATTTTAATTTTAATAACGAAAGTTTAAAAGTTTAAATAAACTAATAAATGTTTTTTATCGAAAAACTTGAATAAAATAAGAGTAGGTACTAATGAGACACTTGGGATTGCATGTTCTGTACCAGTTGGTTGATTCTAGGTTCTGTTTTTGCCAGAGCTATCATCAGGTCACTATCGACATCAAGGCGATTTCGCTGATTAGTTTTAATTAAAACTAGGGCAGAAAAGCCTGTCTCATATGTAAGTTGAAGAAAAGGGAACTAGTATTCGTAAAGCAAGAGAGTCAAGTGTCGAATTAACAGGCTATCTTTTAATCCAAAATTTCTCCAATGTTAAAAGATGGAAGTCATCTGTCATGAACGAATCAGCCTTCATTTCAATAAATTCTTCCTGAACTTCTTCTGGTGATTCTGACACATCGACAACAAATGGAGTTCGTGTCATGTGCCAATTTTTGATTCCAAGGTTGAAGCTTTGATATGAAACCCTGAACATAATCAGAATTGCTTATTATAGTGTTCTTTCCAGTTTAGCTCATCCAAGAAGTCAAATATGTCAGTTAAATAAGCCAACCTCCATTGAAATGTGTCATCTTTGAAAATTGTCAAAAAATCGTGTTTCTGGTGTAATTTCTGTGGCAATGTTTTGCAAGCCAAAGCTTGGCGATGAATAACACAATGTGTACTAACCATTGCGGGATTTTTTTCCTTGAGCTTTTTAGCTAAGCCCAATCGTACACCTATCATTGCAGGTGCGCCATCTGCGCAAAGTCCAATGAGTTTCTTCCAACCCAAATAATTTTTTTCATGAAAATTTGATATTGAATTAAATAGATCTTCTGATGTAGCACCTGCTGTCAAAGATTGGGAGTACCAAATCTCTTGAATGATATCTCCGCCGATGTAACGAACTTAAACTATTAACTGTGCACAATTAACGATGTCGGTGGCCTCATCGCAACTAATGGCAAAAAATCGCCATAATTTTACTTTGTTAATTATTTGTGACCTTATGTCTGCTGCAATGTCATCGATTCTACGTTTGACTGTTTTATTCGAAAGAGAAATATACTTCATTTTTTGCTCTGTATCTGCGCCTAAAATTATCTGCATGGCTTTTATGACACATGGTTTTATTAATTCTTCACCGATAGTATGAGGTTTCATTTACTATCATAAAAGCTATTTCAAATGAAGCTATGAGATGCTGCGATACATCTGTGTGATAACTTCCCGATTTATCCAGTCTCATCCGCTTGAGGGATTCTGCTTTAGAAGAAAAAACTCTTTCGTCTTCAAAACCAGACTAGGATGTTGTTGCTGCAAATGCCTTTCAAGGCGATTGAGCCTCATGCTATCATTACTTAAAACTTTGATACAGATCGCATACAGAGGCAATTGTAACTCGGCTGTTTCCATGAAGGTAAATCCAAACTTGACGTAATCTTGGGAAAACTTTCTTTTTTTCGCTGCCATTTTGCACCTGTAACAACAAAACAAATAAGTAATAAGCAAAATACCTACATGTAATTACTAATTATATGCACATTATTTTATCTCAATAACGTAATGTATTCAATAGTATATTGGCCACCGGGAGATTCATATTTTTGTAGGTAGGTTGATGTTATAATAGTAATTTTAAATACATTTGGAATCAATATTAGGTCGTCGTTTGAATATTATTTCGCCACGTTGGTTTGATTGTGATGTGGTAAAAAAGTCCCAATGGCCCATCTATGAACGCGTTTCCACTCAAGCAACAACTTAGTAAATATAAAAAAATAAAAATGGTAACTGAAGTTTGTAAATACACAAACTTACCTTTTCACAGTGAGACTCAATAATTTGACACACTCAAACGGATTTTTCAACAAAACACTTACAACATCGAAACGACAAATTTTTCGCAAGTTTGTGGGAATGAATATCACAGAAGCTCATCCGCGTCTGGTAGGTACAAAATTGTTTTCTAAGTGATGAATGTTATGCGGAGCGCGGCTGGGGTGCGCGCGGTATTCATGTTGAAACAGCGGTTGACAGAATAAGTGAATATGATATTTCATTTCTAATTTGATGCGTGTAAATTAAACATTACATTGTAATGTTATTTGTTTATTTTTTGTTTTTTCTTTCTAAAATGCAAACGCTTTCCGCTCCCCTTGACAACTCTCTATGCCCCCCTTGGGAGGCGTGCCCCCCTGGTTGGGAACTCCTGCTTTAGAGTTTCAGAAACAAAGCATAGTCTCGACCCTAAATTCAATATAAATGAACACATTAAAATTGCTTTGTTGTTTGGTGATTTCTCGTTATGTTTGATTTCGTCGTATGTATGGGTGGTTTTAAATTTGTAGTTTCAAAAGTGGAGGAACTAAATATTGAGGAAGTCCTCAAAATTGAAAACACAATGTTGCCGATGGGCAGTACTGGCAAAGTCTCCTCTTCCGGAAAAAGTTATCGTTAATAAGCTCTCAATAAACCACACAAGGATAATGAAATTAAACTTCAGTCTTATAGTGAGGCTCATTTTGTTGCTCTTGATATTACAAAAGCATTCGATCAGCTGTGGCATGCCGCCCTCTTATGCAAACTTCCATATTATGGCCTCCCAGAGAAGTTTTCCACATTGGTGGCTAATTTTCTCTCTGGCCGCAAGGCATCCGTCGTAATTGACGGGTTTTCCTTTTCATCTCGCAACGTCAACGCGGGTGTTCCCCAAGGAACCGTGTTGGCACCGACACTGCTCTTTTTACATATTAACGACCTGCTTTCCTGCATTATCAATCTGTTCCACACCTTTGCTTTACATGCACGAATTCAGAACCACCAGTCGATTTCTGACGGTGAGCCGGGAAAAAGAAGACCAGCAGCGACTTTTTGTCTGACGAAGAGACTAGCAGCGACTTCGTCTCTGTGAGAAACTGCTTGGGGACGCAACAATTTTGTACAGTTGAATGCATTCAAAACATAGTACTGTAACTTGACAAACAAAAAGCGTCTTAGAGCTCATCCGGTATCGACGTATGACCGAGATCGGCCAAAGAGTCGTTCATTTCGGCTGGTCGGAGTTCAGATCACCGAGGACTTGATCTGGCACGAGCACACATCGTCAATAGCGGCAGCTGCTGGGGAAAAGCTATGGAATTTCTTTAAGAACTCTTCTCCTCTTTACATAAGACCCAGACAAGACCTAGCCTCGACTATTGCTTACACGTTTGGGGTGCTGCCGCCCCGACTACATTATCTATGCTCGATGCTCTTCAGAGGAGAGCTGACCGACTGATCGATGACTCTTATCTAACAGGTAGTCTCAGAATCCTTTCGGTCCAGCGGACCGTCGCCGATCTAGACAGACCCGTCTGACTTCCGCCTCCCATCCGAACCGTGTCGAACTTCCCGAACTGGCCGATATGACCGATACTTTGTCCCTAGGGTGTCGGAACTGTGGAACAATCTGTAAAAGAAGCAGTTGTACTTGCTTTAGGCAGTTCAAAAATCAGATCAACAAAGTTTCTTCCGGATCCTCAGAGCAGCCGCGGTGCCCTGGAATTTAGACTCCTGCCTGCGCGGCTGCTTCGGCGTAAAAAACATCGATGTCTATCTCTACGCGGCTTGTATTCGTAAAGAGAAATAATTGACGACTCAGGTATTCTCCGGGTGTCGCGGGCGTAGTAGTTTTTTTCAGGTTGCCGGCTCTGGATTCCATTTTATTTGAACCTAGTATCACTGAATGACCAAAAGTTATATTTTTAGAAATATCTTGCGAAAAGCTTCTTAGGCGCCAGGCAGTCGCCGCCACTGCTCTGAGCCTACCTCCATGAGTCTTCAAGCCTTAAGAACCGGCTAGCCTATGTAGAATTAACTGTAGATAGTCGCCCTGAATGCTGTAGTTATTTCAGGAGACTTCTGATGATATCATGCTCATTTTGGTATGTCAACATCCTGACGACGAGTCCATTATGTATGGTTAACATTTTAGTACCTTTAATTCAGAGGGCGCACAATCACAATGAGATCTGCAAATAATAAACAATACGTGAAGCGGGTGTTGTTGACCTCTGGAGCAGAGCTTACGATGCTCTTAATCATAAATTTCGTCGTCCAATCACAATCAAGTTGATGTAAATAGGTTGGTTTGTCTCAGATGCTTTTCGTTTTGTTCCACACCGCGTAGTATGGGTTGAATAAACTTTCATTTTCTGTATTTTCTATTGGGGAGAGGGTGACTAGTCAAAACCGTAGCATGTATGCCCCATTAGGCATATTGTATGTTTTTATCAGGGGGTTACTCGGAGGCCAGATCATGGGCCATCCCGGGCTATTTAAGAAGATGGTGATACAACGTATCTGAGTTTTTCTTAAATTAGCCATAGAAGGCCTACATTCACCCGGAATAGATCCTCGTATAAATAGAGCAGCTAGGCCGCCACAAAGCATCTTCCAGTTCAGATCCCTTACATAATGATATGCTACACTCTTATACAGGGTGCGGTAGCATGACTTCGTTTTTCTTTCAAAACTTAATAAAAACAATTGTATGACTCAAAACAGTTTTATTTGCTTGTTATAATTTAATGTATATGTTACCGGTAATCTGTATAATACAGGTATTCTATACAATATCTATACCTAGCCAATGTTTGAAATATTATGAATATTATGATCCATTACATACTTCACCAAGGTAATGAATACAATTCCTAGGGATTGTATAGAGTACCTGCTGTTCCACCGGCAATGTGTAAAATAAGTAGATCTTGGTCTAAATTTATCAATAATAACGAGTTATATTATTTAAAATCAAGTTAATTAAAATTAACAATTAGAGTTCTCCTTAAAAATGAGCTTCATGAAAAGGGTACAAAACCACCTTTCTTTTACTACAGTAAAATTAGCGTAAAACTAAAAATTATTCTGGCTATAAGTAACGCAATGTAATTTTTTTGCTAAAAAGTACGTACGTAATACGAATAAAACACTTAAGAAACAAAACAATTCTGTAAAATGTAGACAGTAGGTCCACGGCTGAGTCAAAATTTTAATCAAAGACAAAAATTTTGCCGGTACGTACATCCTTGCTCTCGTCTTTTACGTACATTAGTGGCTGCGCATTCGGTATTGTATAGAATACCTAGGCAAAGTATAAAACAAATAATATTTCATACATTACCTACAGGTTTTAGGTATTCTATACATTACCTAGGTATTCCGGATCATACAGATTGCTGGTAACATATACAATGTTTCTTCCTGGATATTGGAATTCAAATCACAACGCGCCAATTCGTATTAAAGGTTGCTTGCTTAGCTGACGGTGTACAGTCACGACCCTGTTCCCTTTTTATGTACCACTTCTCTGGTGATATTATGAGATGTTTCTTAAACTTTGTAATGTTTCTTGTGAAGTCGAGTTTTATGGAAAATCTGAGCAAGGTATAACTTACATAATATGAAGTCCTCTTAAAATATAAAGATCGTCTCTCATCCACGAAAAAAATGGAGAGTTAAATTATGGCTCATTAGCATTTCTTGCCCCAATCCAAAACCAAAATGAGCATGCTAAATTATTCGGTGAAACTTTGCTTCCTTGCTGGATGCGGGACGACCTGTATAGAGGGTGTTCCTTAATGATATGCGAATATTTAAGGCTGTGAATCTACATGAAATATTAATGTTAGTTTGCTTTATGAACTATGATCCAAAAATGTTTCCTTACAAAAACTCGGGGTGTTGAAGTTTTAGGAAGAAAAATGGAAATTGATTAATATTTTCAGAACCGCTTCAGATGTTTCACTGATATTTATTACGTACTGAAAGTTAATAAAGTTGCATATTTTTCAATGCAAAAATATTTTTTAGCTTTAACAGTGGCATGCGTACGGGTATTGACTTCGATATTTCTCAAGAAAAAAATGGTACGCCAATGATTTTTTGCCAAGTAAAAATTATTTTTGAATTCGTTCAATTTAAAACAAATGATTTCTCTTGTATTGTTTTCCTTCGATGCGCCATTTTTTAGTACAAAAATAAAAACCGTTCTATTGTCTAACTTGCAACATTATTATTAATTTAATTGGAAAAATTAAACACATTAGGGATAATGAACAACAACAACTGAGAACATAAACATAAAATTAAAACCAACGTAATGATTACAAACATTGTTGAAAATGGCTCCCTTTACTTAGTATGCGTGCTTCTGCCCTCCTTCTCACTTTCTATTATCACAGTATTTTTTGCAACTGCGTCTTTTACATACATTACCAACTGCGCATTCGGTATTCTATAGAATACTTAGGCAAAGTATCAAACAAATAATATTTCATGCATTACCTACCCGCTTTAGGCATTCTATACATTACCTAGGTTTTGTATAGAATACCGGATTATACAGATTGCCGGTAACATATATACTGTGTTAAAATGAAAGTGGCACAAATTAGCCCGTTTTCGAAAAAATTTAGCTAAGCACATGTATAACGAAAGGAAGAATGGGTCAAGTCTATTAGAAACACTCAAATGGAATCGAAACTTGACTAGGTATGTTCAGTCATGTAGATTCCTTCAAGTCGGATTTTTGCGTTCCTATTCACGATATTTGTAAATACGAAATTGAATATATTTTAAAGGAAATTGTATGGAAAATATGTGTAACTATTAAGTTTGACAGGTGCATATTACGGGAATCAGAGAACGTACAAAATGCCTAGATTTACAACCATCCCACAACACCTAGTTTTCTACCATTTTAACAACTGTATGAAAATGAACAGGGGTCTCTAAACCGTTAAAAAAATAAAGGTTGAGTGATGTGTTTTTTGCACTTGGTTCCGCGGCAACTGTATCGATTTTTAAAACCTACAAAGGTATTTTGTACTTGGCTTAGTAGTAACCTTGTGTTTGAAATTCATCAAAATCCGAGCGGTATTTTCCAAGTTATAGACGGGCTAAGATATACAGACACAATGACAGGGAGACCGACAGACAAACCGACAGATCGACAGACATGTAGACAGGCAGATAGACTGGAAATGGGTGGCATGTTTTTTTGTGAATGTTTTTTCATTTATCAGTCGATAGCTACGTGCTCTAACGATTATGAAAAAGCGCAAGAATTAGCTTTAAAGTAATATGTCTTAAAATCGTGCCATTTAGAAACTTTTAATTACTATTTCTTAATGGATCTCTATAATGAATAAATATATTGATCAGTAGTTTTCACCGTTTTATGCATTCTCCGATCAATATAAAAAATCATATCCTGGTATTTGAAATATTTGAAAACATCCAAGAAACGATGAGACATTCACAACGCGCCATTTAGCGGCCACAAACCAAAGTAATATAACATTGAGTATTTATTACGAGTAGGAGCCCAGGTGGATACTCTTTTAAGGGAAACCGAAATTATCAAAATCGGTGCAGCTAAACGGAAGGTATACATATGAATTTTTCTGAAATAATATTCAACCCTTTCCCGACCCAAAACAAACCAAAATTTGAAAAGATGAAATAAGGAAAAAAGTTCGGAAATTGAGCTGTCAACACGATATCTATTTATTTTATGAGCGATTATGAATTTTTGCAAAATAATGGAGTTGAATTTTTAAAATTGGAACGACACCACCTAGCGGCCATTTTAGGACGCTGAAGATATTTTCTAACAATTCCTCTTGGCCACTTACATTACAAAATTATTTGACCGACAGCTCTAGGTTGAGTAGCAGATGCCAATTATTGGCAGCAGCGGTGGCCGCAGTAGTAGACTCTTCGGTGTCCTGATCAGTCGCCGTGCGCTGTGCGTGTTCGAATCCCGTCCCAAGATACATTTTTCTCTTGGCTATGGATAAATATTGTGATTGTCCATAGGTGGTAGACGGTGTCTGATCTCTAATTGTCGAACGCGGAGGTACCCCCCGGCGGATCTCGCAGGCGGGGCCAGAATGTGTGCATGTGTGTTCCATGCACACGTGTTTCTTCGCCAGAGTCCGTGTGGCATTCCCCCTTTCCCCTGTAGCCCCTATAGCTCCATGGTACCCCATGGGTGTTTAGGCCTTAGGCCTTCGTGGTGGTTGGAGTATAAAAAAAGATGTTACATGACGTCAAGTAAAAGAGCCGTGCAAATTTTCCAGAATTGAGTTTTGCTACACAGAATCCTGATTCCGGTATTTTGTACATACAGATCGCAGTTATTTTAAAGTTGTATGGACCAAGGTTTCATCGCGCATCCACCATTTTTAAGCATATGTACGTAATGTGAACAATTATTTGATCTACTCTATTCTTTTATTCACCACCAAACATTTTTTATATTTTTCCATATCGGATATGATAAGTAGCTGTTTGTTTATCTAAATTGCAGGGCTAAACTGTACCCCGCCGGCGATTGACGACTTCCCGAAGGACTTTTTCACAGAGGAACAACGTGAAAAGGGCGCCGTCGTTGTGCACATCCTGATATCGCTGTATCTTTTTGTCGCCCTTGCCGTCGTCTGTGATAAATTTTTTGTGCCGGCCGTCGAAAAAATATGTCACGGTAAGTTAGACAGGTACTCATTCATACACCCGTCTGATAAGAGCTACTGCCTCTCTACCAAGTTTAATGTTTATAGGTCAATTACTGTTTTAGATAAATTTCCATTAACCCTAAAAAAAGATAAGGTTCCCCATCGGAATATTCATCCCACTCCTACCCCATCTTGAGGATATAATTTCTGAAACTCGTCGTTAATCATAATTATTTTAAAGATAAAATTGAAGGCAAACCATACTCATACTTTGAGGCTGGATTAATTTGAAATAGTCTAACAACAAAAGGTAGTTCGTCGATGCCCGTCTAATCTATATATCATCAAAATTGGTCCATCCGTGGTGGCCTGAAGGTGAAACATAGACAAAAACATACATACACACTTTCACATTTATAATATTAGTAGGGATAGTATGTGTCTTTTCTTTTTTCACTCTAATCCTAATACATACAAATTGGTCCATGACAATGTTGGGCTGACCTGATTTTTTATAAGCACAGGTTCGACAACAAATATTCTGAATGCGATTCAGATTCAGATATTTCTGTTCACCGCACTAAAATAGAAACCATGTTTCATGTTTTTTAACTGCCACTTTGAAAGCTCAACCTCCCTTAATGAAAATTTTTAAACCCATATGTTTGGGAGAAAGAAACTGTCCCAGTATATATCAAGGCATCCATTAAAAAGCTTTTGAGATTTACGTTCACCAGTACCATTGATTAACGTATTCTACCTGAAGGTACCCAGTGCTATATTGTCACAGCTATGTTTTCCTCTCCGCAATAAAAATCTACTTTGAAAAGGTTAGTGACTCGTAAAAGACGCTATAGCTATATGCTCTTATATAGTTGGCTACAGCGCCTTGTATGAGACAATCTTTTCAAAGTAAATTTGTAATTAATGTGCAGTGGAGACATCTAGCTTTGATAAACTCTCATATAAGGTGTTACGGTATCTGATTTCATTTCAGATAACTTTTTGGACGCACGAATATAGTATTCGGTAGGCTATCTTCAGGTTGGATACATTAATTAATACTTAAGTCTATTTATCCAAGAACTGCATTAAACCAAAATGATTGCCAGCGCGTGCCCAGTGCATGATCGGTACGTATTTCAAGAAAATCCTATTGGGCAGAATCGGTCAGGCCCATATACAGGACCAACACCAAACCAGGAGGGTGGAGTGGGAACACGTGAAATATGGGTGAATATGTGTTGGTTTAGTTTCTTTTAATAAAAGGAGCGACTGAAGGGAACCGCTATAGAAGCTGAACTTGCTTTAGCAAATTATTTTCGTTGTAAGTTCATATGGCTTTCAGCAGGTGAGCCAAACACACCCGAGAAAATAGTTCTGTTACCTGAAGAAAGCTAGCCATGTACTGTATTCCGGTACCCAAAACGTGATCTGAAAGATCATAGCGTCATCTATGAGACACTGGCAGAATACAGAAATATATTTAGGAAATCTACTTTCAAACGAGTTAGAGTGTTTGGTTCTTTCACTGTCTTACAGATGGAGCTAAGATCTTCAATTCCATTTTGGCACCTCTCTCATCTATGTTAACTGGGTACCGTCAGACATTTGATTAATGTATTATACCTGAAGAGTACGTCCGAGATCTTCATCAGAACAATGTCGGTTACACCGTCAGCGTTTTCTGCTTTCTCACATTTTGGTAGTCAGTACTGTTTCTGCCACCCTGCAAATATGGACGAAGTTGATGAATTTGATTTCCTTTAAAAGTCCTTTACTGAATTTACTGTTCTTAAATGGTGGAAAAACGGAGCACGTAAATCCTTATTTTCTAGTAGGGACGACAAAGGGGAGTTTGAAATGTTATTTGAAGAATTGCTGGACCAACAGCAAACGGTTTTCGATTACTTCCGGATAAGTGTATTTATTGAATGTAAATGTGTCATGTAATTGATAAATAATGTACCCACATTCGGATAAAAAAATTAGTTGCATGTTGAGTTCTGCAGTAATTTTGTACCATTTTGGCAGAGAACAATCTCTATTATGATAATTTCTGTGTCTCATATCCCATAGTGATCTGTTCTCACATACAAGAGTTATCAATTTATCGTTGTCCATGGTGAAATAACTAGTAAGTACTCAAAAATAAACACAGGTCATAATAAAAACTCAATTCTGTTTAAATGCTGAAATAGTTCTCATGACGTCGTGCATACTCTGACGTGCTGGTCGCTGCCAGTGTAAACACGTTATTTTAAAAACAGTTATTTGTTTATTGGGGCGAATTCGTCAGAAATCATCAGAACAAAATTCCTTCAGAATTCGCTTCCATAGTAACCGTAGTCTTAAAGAAGCGCCAAAGAGGGATGTAGCGCTGGAATACTGTACGTATATATGATTGGCTATCAGGTAATACACGTTAATCAACCGCTTATAGCCATTGAGCGAATAGGAATTTGGAAAAAAAGGAAAAACGGACGAAGTGTCACTTGGAAGACAGATAAATAAAATAGTCAAAAGTATCATGTACTGAATAATTTCATTTTGTGATCGAAACGTATACTACATTAAAGAATAATTCCAAATTTATGTGGTTTCATTGGCCAGACAAACCAGGGAGATTTTTGAACGTAACCTACTTTGTTTCCATTCTAGCGTTGAATATGTCTTCGGATGTGGCAGGAGCGACGTTCATGGCAGCAGCGACATCCGCTCCGGAACTTTTCGTGAACGTCATAGGGACTTTCATCACAGAAGGTGACATCGGAGTAGGAACGATCGTCGGATCGGCAGTATTCAACATTTTGGCGGTTGCTGCATGCTGCGGAATTGGAGCTGGCATGGTAATAGATAGATAGATAGTTTATTGTCCTATTAGATCATGTTACATGATATAAGACTTGTCAATATCAATTTGAGGGTCATATATGCGTTTGAGCAAATATGCCAGAAAAATACTTATAATTATAAAATAAATAAGGACATTACATTTACAAAACATTTTAACAGGTTAAATCACATTATAGGTACAGCGCAAGAATCGTAATGTGTTCAATCTGTAACGGTAAAAATATATACATGTACAGCGACTTTTTTTATGACAAAAAATGTTCGTCTAGCTGGTAAAAATCATTGAAGCTGATACAAAGAAAAGCGGTAGGAGAATCTGTTAGAAATACATAATATATAAATACAATAAACATCGAGCAGTGAGGACAAATGGTTAAAAGCTTATACAGAAAACACATACTTTCGTTAAAACTCGAATAAAAAGTGAAATTAAAATACATTTACTCCACGATAATAGACAATTCACTAATGACTAAATGATTAACAGCTTAAAAGAATTTAAAAAACAGATACTTTCATGTGTTAGTAAAACTCCTGTAGAGAGTAAAAGCATTTTTCAACCAGATATTTCCTGAGATGTTTTTTCAGTGCAAGGATATTAGTGCTTCTCCTCAACTCACTCGGCAAATTATTGTATACCTGAGTGCACGCTAGAGTGGGAGATTTTTGGAATAGGGCAGAGTGTGTCCGTATACTCAGATCATACCCTGTTCTAGTGTTGTATTGACTATTAATGGCGTTGTTACGAACAAATCTATTGCTATGTTCAAATGCGAAGATGGCACATTTGTAGATATAGATGGAAGTTAATGTAAGCAGATTATAGCGTCTAAATATTTCTTTACAAGAGTCCCTCTTATTAATATTAAAAATTAATCGAAGTACTCTTTTCTGCAGGATGAATAATCTGTTAATCATTGTTGCCTGTCCCCATATGATTATATTGTTAGTGAGGTGAGAATAAACTAGCGCGTAATACATATCTAAGAGTGAGTTTAGATGGATGTTAGGCTTTAATTTCAATATTGCAAAATAAGCACTGTTAATGTTGTTGCAAATGTGACTTATTTGTGGTTGCCAGCTTAACTTACTATCAGCATGAGTTGCTAAGAAGACAGTTTGACCTGAAAAGCTATCAATATCCATGCGTGGTTTCTTGTTGAAGAAATGAATTTCAACAGTCTTATCTTCATTCAAAATGAGGCGGTTAGAATGGCACCACTCGCTCATTTCACTTTTGACTTTCTCAATAGATTCGAGAAGATCCTGCGGTGTCGTGGCACTGACGACGATAGATGTGTCATCCGTATAATTAATCATGAAGCCAGACAATTTCAAGTCATTTATGTATACAATGAAGAGCAGTGGTGCAAGTACTGAGCCTTGTGCCGCACCTATATTCACGGAATATTGAGTTGACGTATGACCATTGAACTTCGTTTTCAATTTTCTATCTGTGAGGAAAGACTGGATCCAGCTGAGAATAAAATCCCTTATACCTAAGCAGTACAATTTTTCCACGATAAACGAAATATCCATTATATGGAATGCTTTCGAAAGGTCAAAAAATAGTCCAGCAATCATTTATTTCTCTATATATGGGAAAAAAAGTCAAAGGTCGCCGTTTCTACAGATCGTGAGGGCCTAAACCCATGCTGGGTATCTGATGAGACATTATAGCGATTGAGAAAACATAATATACGTTTATACAGACATTTTTCAATGACTTTAGAGATCATCGATAAAAGTGATATTGGTCTGTAGTTACAGACGGTCACCCTTTTTGCATACGGGAATAACAATAGCTAGTTTCAAGCATTTCGAGAATTTACCTTGCTTTACTTGATATACTAATAAGGACTGATAGGGGGGAAGATATTTCACGTTTCACAAACTTTATCACACGCGTTGAAATTCCATCATTTCCACTGCTTCTTTTATTTGGAAGGGTGCTGATTACTTCCACGATCTTTTCAGTGGTGATATCCTCGTAGAACATTGATGATGCTACCCGATTTTGTGATGGACATCTTGATGGATTGTCACATTTAAAGTGTTCTGCTAACTTGCTCTCTGCTATTGTGGAAAAATACTTGCCAAACTTGTCGGGTACGAGGGTGTCAGTAAATTCTTTGTCTTCAGTTTTCAGCACTATTTGATGATGTTTCTTTACTCTTCCGATTTCTTCATTGACTATTTCCCATATTTTTTCAGTTTTGTTGTTGCTGGATGTTATTAGACTACTGTAATACTCTTTTTTGTTGAAGAAATTAATTTCTTGTGTTCTTTCTTGTTGTCAATGTACTGCTGTTTCATACTTACATTGTCCTCATGCCTTTTCACCAAATTGTGTAGTTTTCTTAGATCTAGGCTGAACTGTTGGATTTTTGGCGTCACCCACGGTTTAGATTTCTGCTTTTTGTGTCGTGTTTTATGCCTCTGGGGACATTTCAAATCAAAATGCCACAAAAAATTGTTGAGAAACCGTTCAAATTCTGCATTAATATCGTCCTCGCCAATATTCCAGTTTTCCTGAGCTAACCTAACTTTGAGGTGATTTAAATTGTCGTCATTTATAGGCCTTGTCATGAGCAAGTGGTTGTCTTGATGTTCGAGGTTGTCGTGGGATGCATGAGAGAGCGAAAGAAGTTGTGCAGTGTGGTCTGAAATGTGGGGTTCAAACATTGTACAGGAAGCAGGATATGCATAATCGAATGCCACACGCGATTAGTATTTACTGTGATCCATCCGTATTCATCATGGAATATGATTGACCGTGTAGCCTTCGTGTCAAGGGTTGCCATCCGTCCGGTTTTTTATTTTGTTTTTTTAGTCCAGCTCGGCTAAATTCTTGTGTGTCCGACTTTTTGTAGGCTTTCTATTGCAAAATAAAGTTTTTGGTGTCATTTGGTTTTTTCGGGCTGTTGAGCCGTGGTTGGATTGGATTTGATCCAGAGCTTTCGGCTACATCTGCGGTAACCATCTTCAGTGAAACAGTTCAGTCGACCCGACAAGCCGAGCATTTCGCTCTGGATCAAATCAAATCCACGACTCAACAGTCCGAAAAACCTAAATGACATTAGAATTAGCCGTGAAAGCCTTCATTCTTCAATTAAAATTTTTGGGTTTGCTTAATTTTTCAGAATGAGAGCCATAACTTATTAATATCTTTTTGTTAGTAGTAGTACTTTTAATATCGTAAATAGCAGAAGGTGATTGAAATAAGGCTGCTTAGTGATTACTTTGTTTGTAGCTATGACTGCTCAATATTGTGGTAAACATGTGAATATTGAAGAATTATAATATTTAACATACTTACTTATCATGGTAGTTATGTCCATTAAAAAAAAAACGTCTAGTTTTGATGGCCAACGGTCCGGCCAAATACTGCATCGAGTCAGGCTTTTGTATTTGAAGAGATGGCAACCCTATCTGCATGTGTATTTATTTATCGATGTATAATGACGCTTTTAAACGGGCAATATTTTTACTGCATTTTCAAGCTGTAATAGAGTAGCCACTCAACTAGTAAAGTGGTTCAATAAGTTTTAGTAAAAGAACTGTTCAGCCTGAACACCAAAATGCTGGATTAATGTTGTGTGAAATGCAAATTTGCTTTCTGCAGCATATTTGCTCTAAAATGAGGTATCTAAAATATTCTTGTACCATAGTTATACAACATCTTATAGAACAGACTTTGAACTTGAACTTTGCATAATCGTTGTTATTTTGCCAACAAATTGCTCCCAATGGAAGCACTTATACAACTGATGTTTAGTAACTGTTAAAGGTTGTACATGTGCAACAATTTCACAACGTTTATAGTACAACATTGCTGTGCTCGGAATACATTTGTTGCTAAATATACCCCATTTCACAAGTATCCATCACGCTTTGACTGAGATGAACAGCTGATCAGCAAGTGACATTTTTATGTTAGTCTGCAACGTTGGTAATAATGAATCGGGTGTAAATTAAGTAAAACTTGTTTGTAGCATTTTGTTTTTTGTATGCAAGTGAACTTTTCTAAATGAAAGAGCTTTCAGCAAGTTCATAATAAATCTGTAGCGTACAAAAAACCAACACAAAATACAGCTCTGTCTGCCTCCGTCAGAATTATATGCCCTTTGATGATATGGGGAGTTTTGAAATATTACTAGATAATCAGCTGCCATTCTACCGTAGTGGATACTCTTGAAAAAGACAATTTGGGTATACAAATTCACCATAACCTAACTTTCTGTTGTCATCTTTTTAGGTTAAATGTCATAATCAATATTTTGAGACAAGCAACGCATGCTTATTCGTTTTAAAGGGTTTTATCATTTTTTCAAACAGAAGATATATATCTGGTACAAACCTTGAGCAAAGCATTCGACTCTGTCCGTAATTCAGTTCAGATATTTATCCAATGTATTAAAGTACCACTTTCCGCACTTGTTACGAAAGTAACTATAGCATAGGCTGGCTACATAGTTACACATGTCTGACATGTCCGACATAATTTCTTATTTTGCTGTCTGATTTCTGAGATATCGAAATCTCTTTTCATGAGAAATACCGAAAAAAGTATGTACAATTGTACATACGCTAGGGTGTCCTTATATTGTCGATTTTTTTTTGAGATATTGAAACGCTCCAAGTTTTTTCGAAACTCTTGAACATAGTCAAAAACAAAATTTTATTTACCTGCGGAAAAATGAACCCGTGCCGAGTTTGCCTTAAAAATTCCGAAAATACCTAACTGTTTTCAACTGTTTTCCTTACCTAGTTCAATCTGGAGCATTATAATTATTTTGGGAAACAATAATTAAAAACAAGTCTCAAATAGTAATATTTATTCATTAAAATAGATAAAAGTGATCATCGTTCAGGATAGCCTATTTTTAGGGTCTCTGTTTTACAGTCGGGGTACAGTTTCCTGTGTGCCTGTACACAACGTAGCAAAAACTGATTTTGCTCTTCTTCAGCAGTGATTAGACCATGGAAATCC